GTATATTTTTTGTTAACTATTTTGTTTCATGTTTGTTGTTAATTATGTAACATTTATTAATAATGCATCAAGTACAATTGCAATTCCTGCATAAAAAGTAATAATGTTCGTATGAATTTTGAAAAATGTTGATTTCTGTAACTTTAAACATTTTTTTCATTTGCTGCAAGTCCTGTGAGTTTGCTATTTGGAAAACTTATTTTGAAAATTAAGTCGTCACTTTACAACATGATTGTGGAAAATGATTGATTACTGTGCGTACGCGCGCACACATACACGCAGAGCGATTGATTATTTTTAATGTCATACGCATAAAGTTAAGTAAGCGTTAGTTGAAAATATCCAGTAATTATCCATAAATCCATGCTTTTATTGTACATCCTCTAAAATATATTTTTAATGGTTTTATGACAAATTTATGTATGTATTATTTAATCAGTGTCAAGTATAATATAATTTTGCAATATATCATTTTGAAAGTATATAAAGCTACAGAATATATCATTTCATATTGGTACAAAAAACATATATTGTATTCATTTTTATCAATTTTAGAAATTGCAATGCACATTCGATCTTTTACTGAATCATAGTGGTTTTGTAAGAAAATATGTTTAAATCGCGTGCGTACATGTGTGCGCGTGCGTGCGTGCATGCGTGTCACTCTAAATCAGAGCATCTGTATTAAGACCGGCAACTATAAAAAGAAAAAGAAGAACAATACAGATATGAGAGAAATTTAATGTATGTTATTAATACAGTGCCTACTTGTTAGCCTTGTATTATATGTACAGAGGTTCTTCCCAAGTAACTAATACTGTACGGTTGAAAGATTCTTAGACAAAGTATAAGACATGTGTGAAAGATTCTTAGACATGTATCTACATATATTCTGTAAGATTCTCATTTACAAATTATAGAATTAAAATATCTGGATGAAATTCGGGCAAAAATATATGTGGTGATTAAGTCAAGTTTAGTAAAAATAATAGTTATTATAATATAGAAAGGTAGGGCAGAAGGAACCGTCGTCTTTAGCGTTTTACATGCAACTGACATTCTTTTGTTTCTTCCATCAATTCTCTTCAGATACCACATATGTAAATTACAAATTTTTATTTCAAATGTAATGCAAAATATATTTTTTTTTTTAAACTTTCTAAAACTACGTATAATAAACATTTCATTTTAAGTTTATTAATCTTTATATTTGATATTATTAAAGCAAATATGTAATACTAAATTCTATTTATTCCAAATGTGTTCTACAATTTGCTTATAAATAATAAAAAGCGATTTATAGGTTATAACTTATAAGAATAAATAAAATATTTTATTGTCATAATGAAATCTTTCATTCGTATAATAAATATTTCACGTATTACTTTTTACGTCAATGTTTTTTTTTTGTAACAACTTAACAATACAAATCAATTTCTTCGTAATAGTGTTTATGTAGTTCAGAATTTAGTTTTGAAACTTGTATGTAGACTTGAATATTTAAAAGAAGCATGCCTGTAGTCAGCAAAAAAGTAATTTATACTGTCAATACTTTTTAAATGAAAATTCAGTTTTATCATAATTGTCCCGTATATTACAGAGTGCATCTAAAACATGCATGTTAAGTGAAATTTTTGTGAAAATTGTGTGGAAAACATTTATTCATTCTTTTTAAAATGTTATTAGGGTAATCTCATAATAGGTTGTTCCATTAAAAAAAAAAAAAGAATAACAGAGACCGTGTTTGCCCCCCTAGGAACCCCCTCCTCAAATTTGTTGCACCCCAAATGATTAGTCCTCATTGTTCCATTAAATGTAAAAAGAATTCAAATCATTATTTGCAGTGATATCGAAGGAAACGATTTGTAATACTTCATCTGGGTCACCTTGTATAGCTAAAGCTCATAGACTAAATTTCTCGTTATTCTTTCGTTCGCTAACCCGATTTTGTTTTTAGAAAAATACCTCCATTATTAACATATTACAATATAACATCTACAAGTATTAACCTTATCTCAAAAGCAATGTCCACTCAATTTTGTCCACACTGTTTTGCTCATCTCGAGCTTATTTATAAACTTTGTTTACGTAAACTATATAATGATATGTAAAAAAATAAAAAATTAACTAAGATGAATTGCTAAAGTACAACCTTTTCTCCTAAAACAGTTGGGTTTCTACTCAATTTTGTCCCTGACCGTGTATTGTTCTTTTATAAATAGGAATAATTCTAGGGGGTGAGACCGAAACAGTTCGAAGATCGAAAAATAAGGACCACCCTCAAAAAATCCCGAGAAAAGGTTAAATAATGTGACATAAATACTTCTGCGGAGGCGCAGAAGAGATTTCCGGGACATCTCTGCTTTTTTAAGTGGGATACTATATTCTTTTATCGCTGTGTGATAGCCACTGTTGTGGCGGTTTCAGCATGCTACGATTCAAAGTTATTCAGGATCACTGAGGATCGTAAAACAATTATTACTTTGGAATTGTGGAACCGCGGATACGTCTTGTCATCGCTGGATTTATTCTAGCAAACGCGGTAATTTATTGACTCTTACTTTTATGTTAATAGATAGATTTGCCGCTATGTTTCTGTTCTAATAATACATTCGGAACGTAAATCTTGTGATAATTTACGACATTGCGTGGAATATCTGTAGTCGGTATTGATTTATTGCTGAATCAGGTATCACCGTGATAATCGAGATGAAGTTCTCTTTTGAAGAACAGGTGAATTTATGGGGAAACTCGTTAAAATGTACTCAACTGTACTCAGAAATGTTGTCTATCGATAAATGCCGACTACACCGGAAAAGTTGAGATAACGGATTAATGCAGCATTTGGTGGAATAAGTTCAGAAGCGATAAGACGTGCTGTGATTCAGCGATACAAAGATTCCAACTTTGCATCGACACAAATAAGAAAATTTATTTAACCACCACATTTGACCTTGAATGACCTTTAGTGTTAGCCTGCTGAAATCGCCGCAGTAGTGGTTACCACACAACGATGAGAAAAATATGGCACCTATTTAAATAAAGAGAGATGACCATGAAATCTCTACGCCTCCAACCATGTAAAGGTATATACTTCACATTATGCCCCTTTCCATATCACGAAAGTTTTGTATATAACATTTTTCCATATTATTGCAAATAACGGAAGTATTCCAGGTGGGCAAAGTTTCTACTCCATCCTGTAGATTACTACTGCACATAGAAATATAATAAGATAAAAATGAAAACAGAGGAGAAATAAAAGGTAATGAAACTTCACCATCAAGAATCGAACATTACCTATTAGGTACTTAATTACTAATTATCGTCAGTGTCTTCGTTGAAATATTAATTAAATTAAAAAGTCTAGGATCTTTCAACTTTGACTCTATAGTGTTAAAAAATACTTGAGAGGTACGTCCTATTTATCACAACAGTATCCACAAATAGTAATGGCGTTATAAACAGAACTCGTTTAAATTGATTTCTCCACTACGCTAGGTACAGTTCTTCTCACACGGACAATTAAAAGTTGACGACATGTAAAGATATCTCAAAACCTTAACGTTACATATGTCGCAAACTATTACATTATTCTATCAAATAAAATACTGTTTAATTTTCTTATTTAAAATAAGAGTGAAGAAAAAATTCTACCACTTAGAAAACTCGAGAACCCAAAGCCTTCCGCTTACGAAACGATCGCTCTATGCGCTAACCCACTGCGGGTTTTCGAATGTCACTTAAAGTACCAAGCTTTTAATTGTTTATAAAAGATACACGCTGGAATGAAATATTCTACAGAATGTCATTTTTCGACCTCTAGATTCATCTCTCGAAATTACGTCTAAATCCCCGGGGGAGCAGCTATGGGATCCTGTAAGTTCAAAAAGCGTTCGTCATGATTGAAATTTTCAGTTGTAACACTTTGTCAAGTCCACTCTAAACTAAATAACTGTTATAAATCATTGTTTTCCATCGATTTCCAAAATTTACACTAATTTCATGTACTCTGTTTAGGACAATAGAAATTCATCATACAGCAAGTATTTGTTTTACCTGAATACGGTTTACCTGAATTTTTTTTTTTATATACTTTCCAGCGAGTAGAAATAAGTTATTTTGGTAAAATATTTTTCATGGAAGACCCTGTACATACATTGCAAGATTGCAAGTTAGAGTATTAATAAGAAGTATCAGAAATGCATATGTCATAGAAAAGAAATATAAAGATTGAGCATGCATAATACTACTAAATAAAGTCTAAGATTATTAGTCACCCCGTATCAAGAAATTAAGTCTTTCAGAGTTATATGTTACGAACGGTCTTATTAGAAAACATGGTAAGGTATAACCATGGCGTACGTTATCATGCTATTAATTATTCTGTTAATATAATTAAAATAAGTACTAATTCTTCAACGTGCAGGAATACGTACTTTTCAAATTCTTCCGGCTGATTTCAACAATGCTAGTACAAACTTTCTACTGATTATATTTGATTAAACCAAAATAAGGAAATAATATCTAATTTTTACCATCTAGCTACAACCATTGATCGAGTATATGTACAAGTATTTCCCATATTTGTTTATAATGAAATTTTTCACATAATTTTTATATAAAGAAGAATACTGTTATGTTGTATTCTATAATTCTGAAAGTATTAATTTTAGCATAGAAGGCTGAAAGAAGTGTGTTATATATCCTTGGAATTGTGTAATCTTCTTTTTGACAGTCCATGTTTAGTATACAATGTATATAGAAAAATATAAAAAAATGTGAAGCATTATATGCAAGTTTGAAATTCACATTTAATTTTTATTATGGCTTTTAAGTTTTTGATCACCAAATTGTATTAGAAAATCCTATAAAATTGTACATATCCGCTTTTTAGCCTCTTAAAAAAAATTTGAATGCGTTTAATAAATATTACATAAGAAAGCATTAGAAAAAGCGGGAGATAGGGCAAAAGGGAGGTGACATGTGTCTGTTGCCAGGCTGAGCATGGAGGTGTCGTGTCGCAGATGGCAGACTCTAGCCGCGAGGAAGAACAAGTCAGTCTCTTGGGTGAAGAGGGCCTCCGCGCTGGCGGCCAGGCTCTCAAGCTCGGGTAATTAAAAGTGGTGCAAATTCAAGCAATGTAGAACGTAATGATTTATCATTTTTTTTTCTTCTTTTTTTTTGCAGCAATCAGTAAATGTAAACGAGAGATATCTTATGATTTGGTATACAATAAATAAATCAAATTTCATATTAGATGTTTCAATTATATTTTAATATCTTCGTCAATATATCCATTTACTTTTTGTTTGTTTGTGTTAAAAGCATCTACATATAGGGTGTTCGCGTTAACTTGGAAATCTAAAATATCTTTGTTATTTGAGGGTAAGAAAAAAATGTTGGAAGAAGAAATTATTATGCTCGGAGGAGCAAATGTTAAGAAGTAATAATTATTTTGAAAGCCTTGAGATTTCAAGGTCATTGTCATTTTTTTAAATGGGATGATATATTCTCGTTGCCGTATTAACCTTCAAAGGACAAAAAACATGTTATTATGGAAGAGGGGAACTGTACAGAATTTATGTATGTCAGTGTAAATTTTTAGTTATTGACTTCAGAAGATGTTCAGAATGATCACCGTTAATCTTCGTACACTTTCTAATTGGACTGTTCTGCACTTTAAAACTTGTTTTTTATCAGCTTTAACAATATGTCAACGGAAATATATTATCTCATTTAAAGAAATGGCAGACCTTGAAATCTCGAAAAATGTGACCTTAAAAAATGTTACTATTTCATAGCAATATTTACCTCTTTGGACAGAATACTTTCTTCCTCCAATATTTGTTCGTGTCATCAAAGGAATTGAGATATTTTGGGTTCTCCAGTTAAAGGAAACACCTTGTACAATTTTCTTTTTTTTTAAATAATATTTTTTCAAGTTTTCAAAATTATGAACGCGTTTTTCTTTTATTAGTTGCAACTGAAAGTTGTAACTGTGAAGTATTAGGTTGTAACATATGAAATGTCCGATTTTGTTATTCCAATTTTTTAAACCTTTTGTTTCAATAAATATTTTTATCTTTGTAGATGTATTATACATTATTTTAAAGCTTAGAATCTCTTCTTTCTTTTTTCATTTTAATTTTTCAACATTTCTGTATTTGAATGCATGGTTTTTAGGTTTCTGTGAATCATGAATTAGCATGATTTTCACATCCTTTTTCTGTACGAGTGGGAAAGTGGTTTAAACTTCCTGATTTAACTCACTAAAATTAGGTGAAACTATCACGGCGAAGTATCGCGCCAAACTTTAAGTAATGCACCAGGAATTACGAATTAAATAACCGGTATTAGTCAATTGAAGAGGGCCCATCCTGCAGCACGACAATGCTCGGCCACATGTTTTTCGCAAATGACTTAAAATACGAAACATTACTATATCGGCCAAACTCGTCGGATTTGTCGCCCACGGATTATCATTTTTTCAAACATCTAGATCACTTTCTCAGCGAAAAACTCTTTACGCATCAAGCAAATATAGGAAATACTTTCAAAGAATTTATCGACACCCCGAATGCCAACATTTTATGAAAATAGAATTTAAAAACTTGTCACTTGTTGCCAAAAATGTGTAGTTTGCAATGGTTCCTATTTTGATTAATAAAATTTAATATAAAAAATGTGCTGATTTGAATCCGCGGTTCAAAGTTGGACATTTCATATGTTATAACCTAATAGAATAGATTAAGTTAGGTTTACTATGTTGACCTTCGTATAACTAACTTATACAATAATTATAGCTCCAGAGTACTTGAAGAAAAGATAAATAACTTTACAAACTCGAATCTAAATAACTTTAGGTAAAAAATAATTTAAAAAATTACATTTTCTTGAAACATCATTTGGTGTTAATGAAAAGGATGAAAATATTGAAGTAGTCGTGGTAAATTAAACATTGCGTATAATTATAATATTTTTTTCTCGTGATAATACTAATATTACGATATTTTATGTTCCAATTAATTAGCATTTCAAATGTAATTCAAAACGAGTGTAAAAAGGACTGACTGTTTGGAAGGTCATTCTGTGTAACGATTTTGTAAATCCCATGCTTAACACGAATTGATCTTCTTATGAAATGATAAATATGATTTATTTACAGTTTATTAATACAGTTCAAAGTGTATTCCTTGGGTTTCAAATTTGTAACTTCACTGTGATAATAGTACAATTTTCAAGTATTACAATTAATAGTTACTAACTATGTATACAGGGTGTTCGGCAACAGTTGGTAAAAAAATTTAAAGGGTGATTCTACAAGTTAAAATAAGACGAAAATCAAGAATAAAAAAGTTACGTTTGAAGCTTCGTTTTTTAGTTATTAACAATTAAAGATATCCCTGCGGTCGAGCAAACCTCCTGACACCAGTGATTCTCAAACAGCACCCTGTATTACACCCTGTATAAATATTGGGAATGATTGTATAATACTTTTCACTTCGAATAACCTCTTAAACAACCTGTCCACATTTTTTATATTCATTTTGAGTTACCCCGTATACAGGGTGTGCAATTTTAATTTATAAATACGAATTACTCCTAAACTATCCGCTGTATGTAAAATGGTTCAGAGAGGAATTGAATGATTTCGAGGGGGGCATAATCTGGTGTAATTAGTTTTTCTGTAAATAGATACATAGAGGTCATATGAAGGTGACACGTTTTCTTAAATGGAATCATATAATTTTTAATGCATTAGTCGATGCAGCTCTGTATTTCCTATATATTAAGGTATTTATTTTGAAATCTTTTTAGTTTAGCAAATGTTTCAGTCTCAATATTACAAATTACATTTTCTGAATTGACAGTGGGCATTGTCTTTTTACAAAATGGTAGGAGGGTAACGAGACGAAGGCAATCATATCATTTCATGTATTATTTTATTACAGAATTTGTGAACATCGAAAGTAATAAATTTGTCTTTGATTGTCAGTGCACGCTTTTATGCTTGCATGGAACGATACAGTTGACTTTTTCTCATTGCCCTCCTATCATTTTGTAAAAAACACAATGCTCACTGTCAATTCAGAAAATGTAGATACAGTTAAGTGTACTAGTACCACTTTGCAATATTGAGACTAAAACATCTCCTAAACTAATGGTTTTTGACATAAATACGTCAATACTTTTTTATAGAAAATAAAGAGCTGAATCGACTAACGCATGAGAAATTATACGACTCCATTTAAAAAAACGTATTGTCATCTTCATACATCTACTCGTTCGTCTACAAAAAAACTAATTACACCAAATTATGTCTCCCTCGAAACCACCCAATTCCTCTCTGAACCATTTTTCATACAGCAGATAGTTTACACTTATAGACTAAAATTCGACACTATGTATACTGTATTTTATTTATGACCATTCTAAGAGTAATTTTTCATTTTAAATGTGTTGGGAAATCCTTACGTTCTACATTTCAAACACCATTGACTAAAAATCATATTTGTACAATGTAAATGTTCTGTAGATTTAGTTTTAAGATTTCTGAAGAATTCTTTAAGCGTTCCTTAGCTTTTGCAATGTCAAACAAAGATTACGTTTATAATAACGGACATTTAGAAAGAAGCGTTAAATCTATGGATACATTGCAGTGCTTCTGGTAAATGTTTCCTGTGCTATTAAGCTATGTATAAGTATAAATTTAAATAGAAGGCATGATGCGTCAGTGTGTTCTGTGGTTGCAGCACCCGTGCACTACGGCAGACACCATAGGATCACAATATAGGAATACCCTCAGGCAAGCTGTTATCAACCGTTATTTGTATTTGCAAATCTGTTTTGCTCAGTGTTTTTTTGTCTGTAGCTACCTAAAATCCTTTTGCCCAGAAAAAAGCACTAATATTACAGTCGCTAAAACAGTTTTAATATCATGTCATTTATCAAGTTCTAAGGTAATTGCTATTAACAGCACTAATTTCAAAAGTTACGTTCATTGTTGCATCCAGTTTCAAAACTTTGATAGCATCTAAAACTTTATCGCCGTCAATATACGCAAAGCTGCTTAACGCGGCAAAAACTTAATTTACTTGTTATTTGAAAACATTCAAAATTGTTGCTTTATACCGAACTGCTACGAAAACTTACTTTTAAGCTTTACACTGTTACACGAATTACAGTCTTCCCTTAGGTCGAATAACTCTCATTCGTCATTTTTACAACAAGCGTTTTTGGTACGGTAACGTATTTTCCATCGAAATGATGGTGTTTTAATCATAAACGCCATTCGTCAATTCTTGTAAAATATCGAGTTACTGTAACAACTTCAAAGTATAGTTTCTCTTCTTATGCTTGATCAACGTCTTAAAATGTATGTTTTCACAGAACACAACTCAATACAATAACTCATTATTGCTTACGCTGTATCTATTTTAATATATGGTGTTTGTTTTAATTGGATACGCTAGAATATCTCGTAAGAAATTGAAAATATGAAAAAATTGTTCTTACAAAACTTGTTTAATACGAAAGAGGATATTAGGTAGTGTGAATAGATTCACTGCAGGCGGAATTGTCGAAGAGATTTCAATATCAACTTAACTTTTTCTTAATGCAATGGTATAGCTGTTTATCGATAATATAATATCATTTGTTGAGACGAGTTCAGTATCCACGCCTTAAACTCAATAACCTTAAAAGAGTAGGCCGAATGAGATCATATTTGGATCCCTTTTCCTAAGGAAAACTTAATTGTTCATTGGTAATAGTCTCCGTTAATAAGATGATAATGAGACTATAAGCTATTTTCAGATAATAAAACATAAAAATTTCATCACGAAATTATTCACTTTTTTTTTTTATAGTGAATTGTTGATCGCAGACTGTAGGGAGACCCACTGTTGCTATACCTTGTTTCTTCTCAAACTATCTCTTGTCGAACCGTATCAAGAGGAAATAAATTTTTGAAGGTGATAATTCTGATTTCAATGAAACCTTTTATTAGGTCATCCAATAAGTCGTGTCGTTTTTTGGCGGTGAGTTTAAGTATAAAATAATATTACATTTACTCTTAATCATCGACGTATTGTCCATCGTTTTCAATGA